AGGCGGTAAGAAAGGTACTTCTGTGCTATTTTCAAATCCAAAAAATACTTTGTTGATGGGTAAATACCTTTGCAGAGCTGAAGAGGACGCATGTCGGTCAAGTCTGACGCCACTTGGAAACCCGCATTGATGAGCTTCACCGTCATTGAGGGCGCCAGGGGGAGGCTGGGCACAGTCCTGTGCATTTTACTGTTGACACTGACAAAAACCAGGCTGAAATGCCGCTTATGTCGGTACGTTACTATGCCAGTTTAGGACAGATGACAGCTAATTCTAGCCATATAAAATAGCCTTATTTGGGTGGACACATTCAGAGTCACTCTTTGAAGGATTTACTATCGATAGAATATTTTTGTGAAATAAAAATTAGATTTTAAAATATAAACATACGTGGACTTACGTTTCTTATTTTTTTCTTCCCTTTGATCCTCCCTCCAAAACAACAGACACTGAATGGGAAGATTATCTTCAAAATAAAAGTCCGAAGACGCCACTGACACATTTTAGTTTACGAGTACTAATTCTGACAAGTTTTAAAGGGGTCATATGATGCGATTTCATTTTTTCCTTTCTCTTTAGAGTGTTACAAGCTCTTGGTGCATAAAGAAGGTCTGTAAAGTTGCAAAGACTAAAGTCTCAAATCCAAAGAGATATTCAAAATGCCGTTGATTATATACCTTTCTCTTGGTATTGTTTGTTTATGTTATGCATATAATCATAATAAAAAACGAATGCTGAAGTGTATAGCAAATACATTATATCGCCACTAATTCAGAAATTAGCTAAAGAAAAAGATAAAATCCTAGCCATTAAATCTTGCTAGCACGATCATTTCAGTCCAGTTCTTACTCAGTAATGAACCACTGCTGAACCTGTTATTTTATCTCGAAAACATAATGTTAACCAACCACTGCGATTATTGAAACGCCAAACTCCACTGTCCCTTATCCCACCCTGTACATCTGACCTGTGTTTACAAAACAAAAGCACTTTATTGCAAGAAAAATAATGCGCGTCGACATTTCGTGCCTAAGGTAAACATGTTATATAAACGCCCTAGAAGCTTAAATGACGTTTGGTTTTCGTAATTATATTTTTAAGTCGGTATTTTTTTGTAACCTGTTTCAGTCAGTCTAAAGTGGCGCAGCTCAGCGCTTTTTAGAAGCAAAATAACTGAATGTGTTTAGATCCGTGTCTATTTGACACAGTTGAGCTCAGATCAACAAATCATTCGAAAGTCTTTTTGTTTTATTAGCTGTAGAACCTTATTATAGAATATCATGAACTGTCGATCAGAAGTCCTGGAGGTGTCAGTGGAGGGCAGGCAGGTGGATGAGGCCATGCTAGCCCTCCTGCACACGATCCTCCTGCACCGCAGCACAGGTAAATTTCACTATAAGAAAGAGGGCACGTACTCCATTGGCACGGTGGGAACTCAAGACGTGGACTGCGACTTCATCGACTTCACATTAGTGCGAGTGTCTTCTGATGAGCTGGACAGGGTTATCAGGAAAGCGGTAGCCGAATTTAAGGTAGGCTACTTTTATTGACATTAGTTCGTTTAAGAGATGTATTTTATTAGGCTTTAGTTCACTATAAAGGTGTACCATGGTAACGCCATGTTTGGACATGCACCATGGTAGTACCAGAATACTCTTTGAATTAACTTTGAGTATCATGGTATCACGCTACTTAATCATGGTTCCACCAAACACTTATTGGTGGAACACTTTTATGTCTTTCCATTCATTTCATATAGCCTACGTTTTTTTCTTTTCTAAAAACATACTTTTCCCCTCAGTATTTCTTTTGTGTAAATAATACCCAGCACCAACACATAAAAACAAAGACAATATATAAACAAGTGGGTAGGTTTTTACATCTCCAGCTGGAAAATTAATTTATGTTCTCATATTATATCTATATTACGCATTTATAATCACACTGTAAGAGACAATGCCTAAAAATAATATACTATATGAATTCATCTAATATATGTATTCCTTTATATTCTTTCATTTCAGAGGTGCCTATATCTTTTCAGTAAAATATTATTTTGCTCTTAATTTCATGTTCCATAGTTCTATGGAAACTAACTCTAACCAATCATTTAAAACTGGGGATTCTTGCCTTCTGCAAAATCGTATTGCTTTAAATGCTGTAATTCTCAGTTTTCTTAAATAAATGTAACTCATCTAACAGAGAATTCAAAATATAGTCCAATTATACCAAGACTATAGTTTGTAACCTTTTTATATTTGGTTTCCTAAAGATTTGTTCTATCAATTACTAAATTACTTCTGTCCATTTTTTATTAACAAATTCATATCCCAAAGGTTTTAATAAGGTAGCAGTGTTCTGATTGTTGCGTTTTTACACATTTTATAACCACAACCTTGTTTCTACCCAGGATGCTCTTGGTAATTCTGGGAGTGATGGCATGGGTCAGATCTCTTTGGAGTTCTACCAGAAGAAGAAGTCGCGCTGGCCCTTTTCAGACGAATGCATCCCGTGGGAGGTCTGGAGCATCAAGGTGAACGTGGTGAACCTGGCCAACGAACAAGAGCGCCAGATCTGCAGGGAGAAGGTTGGCGAGAAGCTCGGCGAGAAAGTCATCAACATCGTGGAGGTCATTAACCGTCATGAGTATCTTCCCAAGATGCCCACACAATCGGAGGTGGACAATGTGTTCGATACGAGTTTGAAAGACGTCCAGCCGTATCTGTACAAGATCACGTACCAGATCACTGATTCTCTGGGCACGTCAAGGTAAAATATATATTTAAAGTTCATTGCATAAAAGATATATAAAATTATTAATATTATTAAATGGTTCCATTTATTTATTATTATTATTTTATATATACTTCTGAACAATACGGCTTTAGCATGTAGTAATTTTATTAAATATAATATGGACTTTTTGTTATCATAATCGTTATTCTTGTTTTATTTTGCTTATTTATATACTTAGCTATATACTACAGCTTTGATATTTATTGTTTGCATTTATTGTAACTCACCACTTGGTAAAATGCCGTTGATTATATACCTTTCTCTTGGTATTGTTTGTTTATGTTATGCATATAATCATAATAAAAAACGAATGTTGAAGTGTATAGCAAATACATTATATCGCCACTAATTCAGAAATTAGCTAAAGAAAAAGATAAAATCCTAGCCATTAAATCTTGCTAGCACGATCATTTCAGTCCAGTTCTTACTCAGTAATGAACCACTGCTGAACCTGTTATTTTATCTCGAAAACATAATGTGAACCAACCACTGCGATTATTGAAACGCCAAACTCCACTGTCCCTTATCCCACCCTGTACATCTGACCTGTGTTTACAAAACAAAAGCACTTTATTGCAAGAAAAATAATGCGCGTCGACATTTCGTGCCTAAGGTAAACATGTTATATAAACGCCCTAGAAGCTTAAATGACGTTTGGTTTTCGTAATTATATTTTTAAGTCGGTATTTTTTTGTAACCTGTTTCAGTCAGTCTAAAGTGGCGCAGCTCAGCGCTTTTTAGAAGCAAAATAACTGAATGTGTTTAGATCCGTGTCTATTTGACACAGTTGAGCTCAGATCAACAAATCATTCGAAAGTCTTTTTGTTTTATTAGCTGTAGAACCTTATTATAGAATATCATGAACTGTCGATCAGAAGTCCTGGAGGTGTCAGTGGAGGGCAGGCAGGTGGATGAGGCCATGCTAGCCCTCCTGCACACGATCCTCCTGCACCGCAGCACAGGTAAATTTCACTATAAGAAAGAGGGCACGTACTCCATTGGCACGGTGGGAACTCAAGACGTGGACTGCGACTTCATCGACTTCACATTAGTGCGAGTGTCTTCTGATGAGCTGGACAGGGTTATCAGGAAAGCGGTAGCCGAATTTAAGGTAGGCTACTTTTATTGACATTAGTTCGTTTAAGAGATGTATTTTATTAGGCTTTAGTTCACTATAAAGGTGTACCATGGTAACACCATGTTTGGACATGCACCATGGTAGTACCAGAATACTCTTTGAATTAACTTTGAGTATCATGGTATCACGCTACTTAATCATGGTTCCACCAAACACTTATTGGTGGAACACTTTTATGTCTTTCCATTCATTTCATATAGCCTACGTTTTTTTCTTTTCTAAAAACATACTTTTCCCCTCAGTATTTCTTTTGTGTAAATAATACCCAGCACCAACACATAAAAACAAAGACAATATATAAACAAGTGGGTAGGTTTTTACATCTCCAGCTGGAAAATTAATTTATGTTCTCATATTATATCTATATTACGCATTTATAATCACACTGTAAGAGACAATGCCTAAAAATAATATACTATATGAATTCATCTAATATATGTATTCCTTTATATTCTTTCATTTCAGAGGTGCCTATATCTTTTCAGTAAAATATTATTTTGCTCTTAATTTCATGTTCCATAGTTCTATGGAAACTAACTCTAACCAATCATTTAAAACTGGGGATTCTTGCCTTCTGCAAAATCGTATTGCTTTAAATGCTGTAATTCTCAGTTTTCTTAAATAAATGTAACTCATCTAACAGAGAATTCAAAATATAGTCCAATTATACCAAGACTATAGTTTGTAACCTTTTTATATTTGGTTTCCTAAAGATTTGTTCTATCAATTACTAAATTACTTCTGTCCATTTTTTATTAACAAATTCATATCCCAAAGGTTTTAATAAGGTAGCAGTGTTCTGATTGTTGCGTTTTTACACATTTTATAACCACAACCTTGTTTCTACCCAGGATGCTCTTGGTAATTCTGGGAGTGATGGCATGGGTCAGATCTCTTTGGAGTTCTACCAGAAGAAGAAGTCGCGCTGGCCCTTTTCAGACGAATGCATCCCGTGGGAGGTCTGGAGCATCAAGGTGAACGTGGTGAACCTGGCCAACGAACAAGAGCGCCAGATCTGCAGGGAGAAGGTTGGCGAGAAGCTCGGCGAGAAAGTCATCAACATCGTGGAGGTCATTAACCGTCATGAGTATCTTCCCAAGATGCCCACACAATCGGAGGTGGACAATGTGTTCGATACGAGTTTGAAAGACGTCCAGCCGTATCTGTACAAGATCACGTACCAGATCACTGATTCTCTGGGCACGTCAGTGAGCACTACCATGAGGAGGCTAATCAAAGACACACTGGCATTGTAAAAGACAGTCAAGCAGCTGAAGCCAGATGCTTCATGGACGTTTATGATGATCTTGTAAAAATAGAAAATCATTGCAATGGGATTTTTAAATAAATTCACTACACTTTCCCTGAATAATAATGCTGTCCACTATGTTTGCATCAGCTAATTCAAGCAAGCAAATTATTCATACTTTTGTTGTTTTTTAAATAAAATCTAATTATGTTCCCTGAATTATATATTTTTTTCTTCCAAATTTGTCTGAATTTTTGTTACCCTGATAAGTAGGTGCTTTTCCCATGCATTTACCTTAATTCAAAAGCTAAGTAAAAAAAATAAACATATTTAATATATATTTATGTGAGAAAATACTGTTTTTCTTCCCAGTTAAGAATTCCTATTTTACCCAACTTGTAAAAAAATAAACTAAATGTATAATATATACAAGTGTCTGTAAATTTTGTAACTGACACAGTGTCCACAAACAAATTATTGCACATATTGATATTTATTTTAGAAAGCAAGCACAGAAAACAGTAGAAAATGCTTTAACACAAAAACTGATACAGTTTTTAAAGCCACATTAGAACAATTCAAGTGCTTACATATATTAGTTATTGCAGTGATACTACATGAATACCAAAAAAGAGATACTTTTCATAAGAGAAAATGTATGTGTTGTACAAACAAAGACCAGGATGAGGATTAAATGTTCTGTTCTGTCATCCCTATTCAATCCAATCTTTCATCAAACCATATTAAGAAGTTAATTAATCAATTACTGAAATAATCATTTTATCATCAGGACACATTGACCTGCTGATAATATGGTTTAACTCTTAACTCAAAACAAGAAGTTGATGTTATGTCATGTAATACTGGGGACAAAATTAAATGCAAACTAAATCAGGTACTTCTATCCTGAGTAATAGGCAACTTGTTCATTAATCAATCCCTTTAGTGGGGGTATAACATAAAATGGAATGTATTACCATTTTATTCATCAAAATATAGACTAAATGACAGTAGCTGATGGAAAATGCAAACAGCAAGCAACATATTTAGATTTTGTGTTCAACAAAGGCCACAAGCTTGCGAAGCCAAACATCCCCTAATGTAAGGGAAGAAGACTTTTCCTTAATTGATTAATATTTCAAACACTTGCTAATATGAGGAAAAAGGAATAAGATTGCTGTTTTTGTGCTTTAATCTTTTAGAATAAAGATCTTCTCTGGGTCATACGGTCACAGAAAAGGTCCACTGAACATCGGGAATGTCCAACCATTCAACGTCATTGCATCAAGACTTCATTAATCACTGAGTACTGAGTTCTGGTAAGTTGAGCTTATACTATGGTCCAGCTCACAATGTACTGATACAGTACTGATACAGTGTGAAAAGCTACTCAGACTTAATCTCTACACATTTATGAGAAGTAATTCCCACATATACTGCATGTCCTGTACAACAAATGTATTAGAAGATCCACATTGCAGGCACACACTAAACTGCTTAAAGAACATCACTCCAAACCTGCTATTTGTACATATAAAGCCTTCTATTTGTTCAATACAGTCACTGAATATTATCCACAACCTCTAAACAAAAATACCACGTAAGTTTACGTAACTGGCAAAAACATTAACAGAGTACTCTTAAAATGAAAAATACAACTTAACTAGCTATATCAAAATTAAATTATAAAGTTTTCCTCACCTCGATCAATGTTCACAAAGTTTATTGTATAGTTTGATATTTACTATATTAGACTGATTAAGGTATGGTTTTATATGGTTCAAACATCTTAAATCAAGTTAATCAAGATGTAAATCTTTATTCTCTTAAATGATCAAAGTAACAATTTAAGATTAAAAGCTGTAACAACATAAGCAGGGCTGAATTGGGCATTTGACAAAAAAATCTAAACGCCTAAACACCTTTTTCTTCACTTTCCTTAACTTAAATGGGGCATAAATAAATCTAAGCTATCATTTTATGCCAGAAAAGAGGGAATTAATGTCTATTAATGCCCTGTCTGCATCAGCCTGTGCTTTTAATAGAGAACAATGTTTATTTGGAATTGCTTGAAAGTGCTAAATAACAGCATAAAGGCCACTAAAACAAGAGAGGCGCAAGTCTTCTGCATAACAATCCAAAAAATCACTCATTTTTTGTTTGCAATAAATCAAAGAAACTAATTTAGAAGAGTCAGAGAAGGTGAAAGAAATCAGTTTCATTTTTAACAGTCTTTCCTGATCACTGAAAAGTGAACTTAAAATATAATACAGGGAAATGCTTTAGAAAACAAATTTATGTTTTGAGCAACTCTTGGCATGCAATCAAAGATGCATTCAGAAAACTCTTGACAGTCTGAATATTGTTTATAGAAATAAGGTATATTAAGTATGATCAAATGCTATTAATAAATCCCTGGGTTTTGTCTGCAAGTGTTTCCCAATGTAAATCATGTGACAGTTTAAAGGAGACAAGGTCCAAGCTAGTCAACTTTAATGGTTAGGGCTACAAATGTGCAACTCTGCACTCTTACGTATGGCTCTGCTCGTGACTCCACAGACTGAAAGCGGTCTTAAATGTCCGGTGACATAATTTGCACATGTACTGCCGTTTAAAGGTAAGCGCAGAGAGAGTTGGGGCATGGTAAAATAGCGTGTCAGATTCCTGAGGGGTGATAGCTTTGTCTGTGCTGTCGGACTTGCTGTGAGATTGTTCCCTAGGCTCATCGTCACCTTTTTTGTCCTGCTCTGGCTTCTTGAATTTGGTTGACGGTGACATGGAGCCTCTAGGTTCCTCTTCTGAGGCGTCCATCCCAGAATGGGTTGCTTTGAGTGGAGGTTCTTGAGAAGCTGGAGACTCTGGGATGGAAATTGTGAGAGGTGGAGAAGGAGACGGAGAAGACTGAAGCCTGTCAATCTCTCTCATCCCTGGCTCTTCGGGCGTGGACATGTGGGACTGGTAGTGGCTCCAGAGGCGGAAGTTGGTCCTGAATGCTTTGTGACATATGTGGCAGATGAAGGATTTGATGTGGCAAAGCAGTTCCTGATGTCGTTCCAGGTCTTTGTGGGCACTGAAAAGCTTTCCACACTTCTCACAAGGCCAAACGCCTGGTTCCTCGGATCCAACAGAAGCGGTGCTCATGCCATCCTTGGCTGATACTGCTTCCTCTTGAGGTTCCTCTTTGACCTGCAGCTCCCCTTGACCGTGAGCGCTCAAGTCCTCTGGGACATAAGACGATGAGTCTTCAGAATCATACATTGGCGGAACTGATGAGTCACTGTACACTGCTTCCTCTCTGGAGTCACGTATCGACTCCTGAGAAGGAGGAGGAACTCCGAGAACGTTGGATGTTTCGTCAAGATTGCTCTCCTGGAGACCGAGAGTCAACTGCTCCTTCACACTCATCATATTGTGATTGTGAACTTCCACCTGATGACGCCATATGCTGAAAGAAGACTTAAACGTGCGCATACACTCAAGACAGGTCAGCTTTTTGTACTTGCAGTGAGCTTCATGGTCTTTCTTGACAACTGAGTTGGAGAATCGAAGTCCACAGTATGGGCAGACGGTAGCATACCTACAAGCTCTCTCATGGTCTTCTAATTCAATCAAAAAGGGCAGTTTCTCATTGCAGAGCCGGCAAGAAAAGACATCCTTATCTTGGCTTTCTTTAAGATGTGTCAACTGCTGCTGCTGCTTGTATTGAAGGTCTCTCTCTGCATCCATGTCAAGGTTAGCCGGCTCAGCGGAGTGTCCTTTCATATGTAGTTTTAAGTGTGATTGAAAGAAAAACATTTTACCACAGTAGGGGCATCCGTAGGACCTTGATCGCCTGTTTTTCCTGCCGAAGGGTTGTGACTGCAGGCCTTGCTTGGATCTCCGGAGCTTCATAATCAAGGCCTTCTTTATTTCCCGCTCTCTGACAATATCAATTAGCTTCCTCTGAAACTTTTCATCCAGGACAGAATAGGAACTAGAAGAGGGTGCGGGATTTTGCACCACGCCGTGTTGGGTTTGGCAGTGAGTCCAGACTTTGAAGTTTGTGTGAAAGCGTTTGTGGCAGATGTCACAAGCATACGGCTTCTCTGGGTTGTGGTACATGTTCACATGGCGATACAGACCTGCACTGGACCTGAAAACCTTCAGGCAGTTCCAGCACTTAAACATTTTGTTTGGCCGAAGTTCTCCAGGTTCTTCATTACTATTGTCCATGTTGGAATTGTAGGGTACCTCATCAAATGTGCTTTCATGATGCAACAGATGATGCTCATTAACAGGCCTAGATCTCTTAAAGGGCATATAACAACCATCTATCTTAGTCTTCCTCTTCATCGAGGGAGTGAAGTACCCTCTGGGACCTTCATCATAGTTTGCCTGAAAGTCTTTGAAATTTACGGGCAGATTGTCTCCAACAGTAATGCGAACAATTTCAGAAGGGTCAGCAAGGGGACTGCTGGGCTCCGCTTTAATTCGGAGTTGAGCTGTTTGAGTGCCATCCATCTCGTATGCATTTCGTTGTCTCGACCTGAGAAGAAGTGGCATTTCTCGATCCTCATTTTCAGGGGATGGCAACCTTGCTGTTGTGGTAATTAACTTGACTACAGACTGTTCTCGACTTTGTGAGTCCTTTAGCTCCAGAGCTGGAGAAAATACAGGAACGGGACTATCCATAGACAATGATCTGCGCAGCAGACTTTTAATAAGTGGCCCACTTCGGTCTACGGTTTGGTTGCGTGGACCTTGATGATCACCCACTGGCCTGGAATCATGAGATGCTTCCATTCTTCCATCAATGGCACCTTCAGATTGATCTGAATGTAGGCTAGTGTGCTGTACAGACTCACTGAATGACACTGAGGATGTTAGTTGCGGCCTCATAGGTGTCGATCGGTATTCAGTTCGACGTCTCAGTATGGATGTTGGTGAGGAGATGATATATCTGCAATCACCATCGTCTTTGTTTTTGTTTGAATTTCTGCTGTTAGAGGTACTGTTTTTCTCTTTTTCATTTGGTCTGACATGTCCTGAGGATTGGCTCTGATTACTAAAATCGTGTGTGAGCGAAGGTGGCTCTGTGGCCTGTTTAAACAGTTTTCCCTGAAGAGTCGAACTTTTCCTCTGAAACACATCCATGCCAGGCTGCTCACCTTGACCTTGATGTACAATAACACTTCTCTTTTGAGAAGCACCATCCTCCTCCTCAGAGAGCGACATCCGTTTTCTTGACACAGAGTATGACGCCTGAGGTCTTACAGACATGATGTTGGTTAGA